AACCAAAATATTTCCCTTTCGATGTTTCTCTTCAAGTAAATTCATAACATCATTCTCCCACCTGTTGACAAAATAATCAAAACAGTGAAGAAAGATTTAAAAGGAAGCATCTTGAAGCTGCTGAGGTTGGTCTGTCTTGTAAAATCAGAGCAACTCACCCGTGAGCATGGTCAATATTATTCAGCCTAGCAGCGTCATGTCCTTTGCATTCCACTATAACATCCCATTCTCTCATAGTCTGCAAAAGTCCAAATTCATCAAATATAAAGTGTAAAGAGAGTATTGGTCATATGAAAGTAATCTGTCCTCACCTTATGTGTGGTTAGAGTTAAGAGAGGGAGAGGGGTAGAAGAGCAATAAAAGTTGTAGCTAGTCCCACATATCACTTACTTTGAAGTCTGTAACTGTAAGTTTGATCAAGCGATAATCTTCTCCTCTGCTGCACTCCCTTTCACATGCCAACTCTTAACACATAGCAAAAGAGACACATTTTATCCAAATCCCAATACAGATGGGATTAATCAGAACACAGGTTCAGTTCTAAGCAACTCAAGAATGGCAAACCACATTAACTAAAATTTTCTACATAAAAGCTAAATAAGAGTTTAGATAAGATATACATTGCTTACATGTATAAGAAGACTAAAGGTATGCTCCAAACACGTCATGCATGAAATAATAATCTAGAGCATCAGCATTAACACATGTGCCAAAAATTTTGAGTATTGAGTATTGAAGTTGAGGTTGCATTAACACAATTACCCCAATCACTCTGGATTACCACTTTTCTTAAGTACTTCTGAGAATATCAATGGTAAAATGCATTTGAGAGCTAAGAACATTTGTGTTCAGACTGTAAATTGAATATATAGCGGGGCTCTAGATTGGCTGGACTCGGAGGGTGAAATGTGAGTGATTGAGTGTATACACTACACAGAAGCAGATATTTTGAACTTTTGAAGAGTGATTTACCAGTGCCATGAAGGCCATAGCAGACAGACTCTGGGAGCTGAATGAAGTGTCCAGAGATGGAGCCACTTGGTAGGAGTGCTATAGACGCTATCCCTTCCATCAACTTCCCCCTTGCGACCGCCTTTTCCTCTTCTCCTGCAACATCAATGTTTCAAAATCACATTTCATTTTATTCTTATGTTTTAGATTGACAGACATTATCAGTGTACAAGATTTCAAGATTAACCCATTCTAGATCCTCTTTAGTAAGAAATCGTTGGTCTTCTTGCTGGATTTCAGGTTAGGGTTATGGCTTATGGGTTTAGTGCAGAGTACTGCTGGCATTCAGGCGGCGGTCCGGTGGTCGTGCGCACCCAACGTTCAACTATCCGTGGGAGTATTATTGAAAAAAGTTTATGCAAAACGTTTGTAACAAAAAATTACGGAGTACAACAATTACAAATGGGCTCTCACACAGCCATAAGAGTCAAAAAGTCTACAAGAACTAAAACTTTGGGGGTTCGGAATTGATTCTTTTTTAAAGTAGATGCAGAATCAGAATCAGTTTTCAGAAATTGATCATTCATCTTCTAAAAAATTGATTCTAGGAGTAAATTAGAGGCAACAGAATCAGATCCAAACACCACCTTTATAAAGAGCCAAAGATGATTCTACGCATCCGATTTTGGTCACAACATGTCTTTTTAGTGAGAATTTTGAATAAACTGTCGTTTAAAACATTTACGTGTATGATACTGATTTGTTTCCGTTAAGAGTTAATGAATCAAAATTCAACAATACTACAAAATAATAGTTAAGGTATCATTTAGATATTATCTGATACAAATTTAGGGGGTGTTTGGATCTGATTCTTAAAATTGTTTATGCTCCTTAAGGGAACAGAAGTAGAAGTTGAAGTGCTCTAATTTACTCATAAAAGCGGTTCTCTTAGAAGCTGGGGGAGACCCTTTTCTTAAAACTTATTCTGATTCCGCTCCTGCTCTAAAAAAGAAACAGAAGCAGAATCAGTTCCAAACACCCTTTTTAGGGATACATTCCTTATTCACATGTTTTGTTTTCATTGTATTTTATTTATAAATGTATTATAAATTAAATTTAAAAAATTATTGTTAAGTTCCTCTCATTTTAAATTTTCAAAAGTTAAATTTTTTCAATTTTTACTAATAAGGAATCAAAGATATTAGTGGTCAAATTTGTATGTCAGCAAATGTGAAAAGTGGATTTTTGCAATTAAAAAAGATTAATGTTAATGCTCTTAGAAACATTTCTAAAAATAGATTGTTTTATGGAAATTTTACTATACAATAATCATGCTATGGTATCCAAATCAGTAAAACATAACAACTGAAAGGTTTCTACCCTAGCGAGAGCTGAAGGGCTTTTTTCGCCGTTCTGCGTGTGGCGCCGATCGAGGGCAAAGCAATCGCGACGAAGGTCGTTCGAGATTCGGAGCAGAGTGCTCGAGACGTGATGGAGGACATCGATGAAGAGGCGGGCAGGGAGGGTCGCGACCAGAAGGCTGAAAGAGTTGATGAGATTGTTGCTAAATACAAAGGCCTGGGAATTGGGGGTATAGAGGACGAACTGCTTATTGAAGATGATGAGGAAGAGGACTCGGCAGTAGGGGCAGTGAAGGCAAAGGATTTTTCAGTGGTTGAGACGATTCTCGCGGATAAAGTTATCCGTTTTCCGTTCTTCCGGGGCTTCATGGCGGATCTATGGCACCCGGGCAAAGGAATGACCATACAAGAGATCGATCGGCGAACGGAGGTATCTCTTTAAGTTTTGTCACTCTATTGATATAAATCGGGTCCTGGATAATGGACCATGGCTGTTTGATCAAAGTCTGATTGTGCTAAAAGCTCTTAAATCGGGTGATCCAGTTAAGATAGTGCTAGATAAATTTGAAATTTGGGTTCAGGTTCATAACGTGCCATATAGTTTTGAAAATTTGGGTACGGCAAGGAGAATAGGGAATTATTTGGGGGAGTTTGTCAGTTGGGATGAACAAAAAGCTAGCGACAAAAAGGAGGCTTACATGCGAGTGAGAGTTCGAATGAATACTACTAAGGCTTTAAAAATTGGAACCACTTTAAGGAAGAACAAAGGTGAAGGGTATTGGGTAGATTTTAGGTATGAAAAGTTACCAAGTTTCTGTTTCTGCTGTGGTATGATTGGACATGCAGAGAAATTCTGTCCCCTACTGTATGAAAAGCTAGGAGGGTCAAGCTATGACCAGACCTTTTGGGTCGTGGCTTAGAGCAAGTGGAAGGAAGGCGAAGTCAAACTTGGGCAGCAAATGACTGATAACAGAAGGAAGCTCTTCTGGCGGGGAGTCGCATATGACACGTATGATGAGGCCAGAACAGGAGGTGGTTTCGGATGAGACGGGGGAGAATACTAAGACGGGTGGGGGGAAGGTTGTGTTATCAGGTGAGCTAGACGAGGAAAGAATGATAGGAGAGTTGAAGAGAAGGCGCATGTGAGAGGACAGACGAGGGAGGATGCTAAAAAGAATGCTATGACACTGGACTCTCCAAAAACGGGGAGGGGGTGCTAGCCCCCAGCCCCGCCAGAAGATCTGATGCTGGTTACGACATTTTTAGCCGAAAGACTTATTTACTATTGTTGCTTTGTTTTGGTTGCGCTGTGTTTTTCCAGCAAAGATACTTATGAAACTAACATAGGAGCTGATGTGTCGTGTCTACAAGTCATAGGCTCAGGCAAGCCCAAAGTGGGATCAGTGAATTATATGGCTTTTACGGAGTTGATTAATTCAAAAGTGGGATCAGTGAATTATATGGCTTTTATGGAGTTTATTAATTCAGAGTCAGGTCCTTGGGCGGACGGTAGACAGGAGACTTGTCGTCACACGGTTACCTATTTTAGTTGGTTTTGCGTGGTCTGTTTTATAAAATCAGTAAAACTCCCAGCAAATAAATACCCTACATATGCACAAACAGTTGTTTGAAAAAAAACAAGAATTAACAGTATTGTTGATCCATAATCCATTAATATAGTATACTACGTATATTTCAACAGTAACATTTCCTCCTTGAGCAGGGACGGATCCAGGATTCTGAGTCAAGGGGGGCAAAATTTTTCATTAGTGTAGGGGGTGAATTTTTTTTTGTTAGTGTAGCGGGGTGAAATTTTTTCCCCTAGTATAGCGGGACAAATTTTTTTCGCTATTGTAGGGTTGTGCGGCTATTTTTATTCAAAAAATGATATTAATTCATGCACATCCTGAACGACATTTAAATCTATTACATTCTAAGTTTAGGCGATGACAAAGACATCAACCAATACATTTTTAATAACTTCTACATTGTTTAACCTCATGAATCGGTTATTGAATTGTAATTTTTGTCCACCAAGGAGGGTGTTCGTGAGTCATGACTCATGAGAAGTTTTCTTAATATTACAATAGTAGTATACTAATATGTATGAGATTGTAATTTTTAGAATAATATGCGCACACACACACACACACATATATGGTGCATATTATATTTTAATATTTTTATTAATTCTATAATAATTTAGAGTTTATTATCCATGCAATAAATTATTTTTAGAAAGAAAGAAGTAAATGAATTATGTAATCTAATGTCTATAAATATTTATATTTTGGATTCATTTCACGTGATCTAAAAATTGTGTAATTAGTATGTCTGGTATTTAATATTGTTTGATATATGTTTTACGAAATCCAGTACTTGTTATCTAATAAAGATAATTAAACATTACAAAACTAGGAATTCTTATATAATAAGTATCCTAAATCTTAAATAACGAGTTACTCTATTGTTTATTAGTTTAAGTTATGTAAATTATTTTAGATGTTTCTTCTTTTAAATCTCCAATTAAGTATTACATTATGTAAAATTATATATATTAATTTTGAAAATTAAAAGCTAAGGGGGGCGAATCTAATTAAATTATGAAAGTTTTATGAAAATATTACATATATGGTAAAAAAAATTGAATGTCCAAGGGGGGCGGTCGCCCCCCCGCGCCCCCCTAAATCCATCCCTGTCCTTGAGTGCATTTTTTTATAGTTCACACGAGAAAATTAATGTAGTCAATTTTTTTTATAGACTTCCGGAGAATTTTTACGGGGCAATTCAGCTTTGATCAGTCCCTCCTTCACTCTAACTTTGATCAGCTTCATGGACGTTCGGCTCCTAGCTGCTCGCCTGTTCGTGGTATAGAGTGAGATGTGCGGCTTTCATCTTATGTATAGCATTTGCAGGATTGAGGCTCTTGGGGCAACAGGCCATGCAGTTTTTTATAGTCCTGCACCTGTACAATCTTTTCTGGTCCTCAGTGAGCGCCTGCAACCTCTCATCTCCAAAGTCATCCCGGCTGTCCGATATCCAACGGAAAGCGTGAAGCAGCGCGGCGGGCCCGAGAAACTGCTCAGGGTTCCACCAGTAGGAAGGGCAGGATGTGGAGCAACAAGCACATAAGATGCACTCATATAGCCCGTCCAGTCTTTTCCTCTCCTCCGGTGTCTGCTTGTACTCCTTGCCGTTGCGCGGGGGCCTTCTCATCTTCAGCCACGGCTCTATCGACCTGCGGGCATTGGGCAATGAGATTTGACAAAAAAATTATGAAGCCTTATATGATTTCAATATGAAGCCGGGGATGGGGATCACTTACTTCATGAATCATGATCGATGCTCACATTTTAATGAATTTATTAATAATTGATAATCTCACTATAAAAATACTATAGTGGAGTTGGGATGTTTTAACTTTGGTGAAGCCACACTCAATAGTGGAGTTGGGATGTTTTAACTATTTTCAATCCTAAATCATAAAATAAACAGAGAGACATTTATCATAGAGACCATACTAGACTTGAACATACCATGCCAACAAATTCAAAAACATCCTCATATACGGCTCCATATGATCGCACGTATGGCAAAAATGCATCAAATGTATTTTAAGTATTAATAATATTGAGTTATGTATTAAACTAGTGGATAATCCATCATTTGACATATGTGAACCACAAAATCATTGGCCAAATATTGCTACCATTAACCAAGAAAGTGGCTAGTTTAATTTACACATTGGAAGTTCTACATATGATTACAATTTACAAACATACTTTCATGCATGCTTCCACAAAAAATCGATCCGAGTCCTCAAAATTATTTCACAATTACCCTTTTATTTGAATAGGATAGTATAATAATGTAGTATTGTTTGATGCAACAACTTTGTGAATATCTTTCTCAAAATTTTGAAAAAAGAAGTGCAAAAGTACATGTGAAATTGAAATCAAAATTTATAAATTGGTAGGGAGTGTAGTACGACTTAATTATGACTTACTTATATTGGTGGTAGAAGGTAGTAAGGTCGACGACCAAGTCTTTGATGACGTACAAGTGAGGGAGGGGAGTAATGACGGTGGAAGTGGCGGTGTTAGTGTCAATTGGCTTGAGACACGCGACGGTGTTGACGCCGTCAATGTTCATGGCACAGGACCCACATATCCCCTCTCTGCAAGACCTCCTATAACTCAAACTCGAGTCCTCTTCTGCTTTTATCTTCTCAAGTGCATCCAGAACCTATATTCACCTCTTAATTACAGAGTGTATATATATATGTGATAGAATTCTTGACTAAAGTATAATTCAATGGTCCATATTTGTGGTTTATTAACTTGGATTATTAATTGAGTGTTAGATCATGCCAAAAATCCAATTCCGCTAAATTAAAGGAAAACATCATCCTTATGATAATGAGTGAAACGGTTAGATAAATACAAGTTTTTCTTAATTCAATCGAATGATCCATTCCTTTTATCTAGAAAAGGAAGTCAAATAAGCCCTTTAATTATTAGCAATTCAATCAAGCTCCTCAATCAGAAGAGTTACAAATACACCCTAAAACCCTCAACTCGTTAAAAATTAAGCAATTTAATCTTTTTTACGTGTTGATGATGTCGATAATTTCTCTTTTATCTACTCAACTGATTTTATGATTTGAGAGATGTCTTTGCAAATCTTTTGATTTAGGGATTCGGTTTAGGGCCCCATAGTTAGTGTTACTTTTCTCTTTTATCTAAATATTTTTGATCAATTTCAATGTTACTCAACCAATTCGAAACAAAAAAAAAAACGAAAGACATATTTTTTTTTATCAATTTAACAACATTTATAGTCATATATGTGTAAGTATCTCAAAAAAATATTTTGTTAATGGTAATAAAATTTTTCATAATTCACTAGCTGATCGAAACGTGATTTCATAAATTTGATTTCATTTCATGCGCAAGTGAATCATGAGGGGCAGATCAAAAAATCTGAGATCTCATGGGTTGAATACGAATTATAGTAGGCTTAAATAGTAGTGGGTGGGCTAAATGTGAAAGATGAAAAAATTTACACTAAAAAATTTGAAAATTTTGTAAGTTGCTCTAGGCTTCAGCCCACCATAACATGGATCCTCTAGATCCTCCTCGCAAGTGGCAAGTGATCATGCATCCAATCGAGCACTTAGGTGAAAGTGAGTTGGAGAAATGTATAAGTACCATGGGGCCGCAGGAGGAGAGGTTTACGTGAAAGGACTGAAGGAACGGTCTGGAGTTGGGATTAGCATCCGGATTCCATCTGTATATTTTGAATTCTTTCATCATCACACTTTCCGTCTTCAGTACCTTCCCTGCAAGATGGGACTGATTGGCGTGTTCTTGAGCAACCGGGTGCCCTTTTAGGTTCGCAAACTTCTCCGATGATCCCTTTCCTTCTTCCTTAAACAGCCATCCTCCGCTCTCCAATCCCCGTTTCAACCCATTCCTAAGCATCTTCATCATAATTATTAATCAAGTATAGACATATAGTTCAATCTTGAATTGGCTTTTTATAGAATTCCTATTTCGAGATGGTTTCATCAAGTGTGAAAGTTGGAGTATTACGTGCTTTCTTTCTGGGTGAATCAGTTTTACTTTGATTAGAATGGGACATGTGGATGGGTCGCATGGCTGAAACGTGGTGACAACTAAGCAAGTGAGCAAAACAATGCGGGGGATTCATTAAAAAAATGCGGGGGATTCATGATTTAAAGGTTTGTTTGCACCTACACTTAATTAATTTAAATATAAATAAATGATAAAATAACACGAATTTATGAAATTCATTGTAGCACAAGTCTGAATTTTATTACATTTGGTACCTCATTTGTACCCTCCTATGATTCACAATCTAACACAAATATAGAAGGTTCAAAATGGGTACAAAATGGAGTAACTTTAGCATCTGTGTCTAGCACTTTTGGACGAAATATTCTTCTTCAAGTAATTATGTTTGGTCACACCGGAATCACCATGAACCAATTCGGGAGTCAACCCAAACTGGTGAGATAAACCAGATTCAGAAGTTGTTTTGTTCGTCTTAATCTTATTACTTATTACTTATTCTCATTTCATTAAAAATTCAGATCATATCTGATCAGAAACATTCAGATCAGATCAGAAAGATTCAGATAAGATCAGACCAGATCAGAAACATTCAGATCAGATCAGAAAAGTACAAACATGATTTATCACTTTTACTATTACAATAAGTATATTTATTATCATTATCATCATCATTATTATTATTATTATTATTATTATTATTTTATTATTATATGAATATTATAATAATTATTGCTATTACTATTGTTGTTGTTGTTTTTATTCTTATTATTGTTGTTATTATTGTTGTTGTTGTTGTTGTTATTGTTGTTAATGTTGTTGTTGTTTTTATTATACGCAAAAGTTCTAATTACAATAACAATTAGGAAAAATTGAAAATAATAATCCCAACTATTGCTGGTCCGCTGAAAATAATCCCAACTATTGATTATTTTTGTATAATCCCAACTATATAGACTAGGCATGGACCCGGTTCGGGCCGCCCGGCCCGTGACCGGCCCGGCCCATCACTGTGCGAGCCCGGAACCGGCCCGGTTCTCGGGTCCGGGTCCGGGTCCGGGTCGGGCCTAGGCCCGGTGGGGTGGGCGGGTCCGGGCTCGGGCCTTGTATTTGGCGAACCGGCCCGGCCGGGTCGGGCCCGGGCCGAATTCATTTTTTTTTTTCTTTTTTTTTTTCTTTTTTGGGGGTTAGCGAGGTTGGGCTTGATGGTTAGGAGGGGTTTGGGGGTTTGGGGGGGTGGGGGGGGTGAGTGGGGGGGTTAGGAAAGCAAAAAAAAAAAAATTATGACCGAACCGGAGGCCCGGCCCGGACCCGGACCGGATCCGGTGGCTACCCGGGCCGGTCCCGGGCCTTCCTTCCCAAAAAAAAGCCCGGCCGGGCCCGAAACCAGAACCGGCCCGGCCCGGGTCCATGACTAATATAGACTATCCGCCAATAATGGTCCATGACCATATATTACCTCTATAAAAGTGAATTTTAAATAGAAATTAAGCGTAAAAATTAAAAGTTGAGATTATTTATAGGGATTACTTGTTATATCTCATATCATCCACTTTAGAAACTACAAGAATTTATTCATATGGACCATTATTGACGGAAGGTCCCTAAAGTTGGGATTATTCTGTAATAATCAATAGTTGGGATTATTATGAGCGGACCGCCAATAGTTGGGATTATTACTATCAATTTTTCCTAACAATTATAATTACAAAAATTAATATTGTAATTATAATTACAATTAAAATTAAAAATATAATTGCAATTATAATTATAGCTATAATTATAATTATAGCTATAGGAATAATTATTACTCCGTATAATTTAAATTGTAATTATAATTATGATTATAATTATAATTATAATTTTTTTTTATAATTATGATTTTAATTGTATTTATATTTATAATTACAATTATAATAAATACATTTGAATTATATTTATAATTTTGGTTTTAATTGTAATTATTTGAATAACATTTATAATTATGTTTTTACATTTATAATTACAATTATTATAATTGTAATTATAATAATTATATTATAGATACATTCAAATCAGATCAGAAAGATTCAGATCAGACCAGAATTTAAAAAATTCTGAGAACGGCTTCTCAGAGCTGGTGCGTAGAATATCCGATCCTGAATTCCTGATTATCAATTATCATTGCAGCGTTCCTTGGACTCACAACGTGGCTGACCCCTAAGTTCATGTTCTTGAAAATTTTGGTTTAATTTTGGAAGGAAAAGTTTAAATAAAATCAACGTCAACCAACAACCAAGTATGTGCAAAATTGCTGGTTGTCAAATATTTGAAGTTTAGGAGGATATTAAGCAGAATAAACTCATTAGTTAATGGGAGGAGTCATGAGTAACGAGAGAGCAGAATGCTGTGTACGAGTGCTTCTTCAATGTGCTTAATTGATTTTAAAAAGCAGAGAAGGCATCACAGGGTGAATAGAATTCAGAAAAGGACCCAAAATTTACATAAAATACAAGCGGCCCTAGAGTACAAAGGGAAACTATAGCAAGCAAGGGCACCTCTCAGGCTCTCAATCATCTTCCTCTGGAATCTTAGTTTGTGGGATATGTGTTGCAGTGCAATCCTTACACGTTGCGATTAGTACATCTCGAATAATCAACTCGTTGAAGAAACGACTGGAAACGAGTTCTTTTACAGGCACAAAGATCCTTCGATGCTCATCTTCCCGTTCTCGGAGATCAATTGGGTCAAGGTCAACATCAACCGATTCCATGGGTTCACTGGAATCAGGTTTCATAGATGAACCAGAATCCTGATTTCCCCATACCATCTCGCCCATCGTTTGTTTATAAACTGAAGTCAATCCCTTTGTAACTGCACATGCAACAACCCATACACTATATTAGTACCCTCACCCTTCCTAATAGTCTTACAAGGGGTTCTTTTGAGCGAGTTAAACCCAAACAACCCAAATCACAATATGCATTTTGGTTTTAGTTGTGCAATGTTTTTTGTCAAATCATATCAATAGTTCAACACTAACTGAATTGGAATTGATTGAGAGCAAATGAAAGAAAGATCACAATAAAAGAAAAAACCCCAATATAAAACCAAAATTCGAAATTGAATCAAAATGAACAAAACCAAAAGAAAATTAAGGACATGATAGCTTGCACCAAGAATTAAGTCCTCACTTTGAGTTCAACACTTCTCAATGTAGATCTTCAGAACCTGCTGCTTAACAAAACATATTGGGAATATTTATAACAAATTACTATTGCAATAGTGTAATTAAAGAAAATCATTCAAGAAAGTTTCCAGGTTATACATTAAAATACTGTAAATCATAAATGGTAGAAGGTATATGAATTTTGGCTCAAAAATATCATAGCACGAATTTAATTGTGAGACAGGGAGATTGTTTACTTCCCTGCAAAAAACATACTCCATATTACACCAGTATAAACATAGTACTCATTAAGAATGAGGGCCCTTTAAAATGATGTTTAATGAGAGTATAATTAGAACTACTCCGTATTAATTAATTATAAACGGTGCTTACAATGGTTTTTCCTAACAGGCCGTTACTCACAATTATCCGCGGAAACCACAATCTCTAATTGCCACAGCCACCATCACTCTCTATCACCCACTACAATCGTATCCTAAACCATTTTAAACCAAATCATGAAAGAAAATTTAGGATGAAGAAAAAACAATTCGAAATGGCCTTCTTATCAGGGCTACTAGAATTAGGGAACAGGATCAATTTCATCATTTATTTATTTGTAAGGGTAATAATAATATGCTGAAATCGGTAGTAAAAATTCTGTGTGTAAGACAGAGTAGTCGTACATGGGTTCTTTTTGCAAGTTTCTTCGAACGTGTAAACGGCTGCGTTTTTGACGAATTTGGTGGAGAAAGCGGCAATCTTTGAGCGTGTTTCACCGTCGGGCACATAGTGAATCGGGTTGAGGTGGCGAATGCCGATTTGTCCACAGGCGTTGCCGATCATTCCAACGGCACCGGCTCCGTAGCCATAAGACGCTGTGCATGCTCGCTTGACTGGATCAGGAGTGTTCCGTTTCAACAAATCGGTGCCGGAGGTGATGAAACCCCAAATCCCCATTTTCGCGTTTCCCCACCGGGATGAGAATAGTTGTATTGGGATTTGGGAATGCTGTTGCTTCTCTCACTGTACTACTGGGCCGTCGTTTGAGAATGAGACTATGTTGTAAAAACCCGAAGAGCGACCCGGTCATGTGACTGGGTCACGGGTCAACCCGGACCCGGAAGGTCAACCCGGTCAAAGCCGGAAAACCGGTCAACGATTATACGTCTATATAATAATAATAAACATATAATAATATACACTCTCATTATATATTTTTATGTGTATTGTACATTTATATTATAATTTGGCATGAATTTCATTCTTAAATAAATATATAAATATATTACATAGTTTTTCTTTTTAGGGAATTGAAATTGCAATTTTATTGATTTAAAAAATGCATTAAAATTAAAAAAGAAATTACTTTTTTTTAAAAGACCGAAAACCGGGTTTTCCCGGGTTTTTCGGGTTTCTTGGTTCGGGTCCGGATCGGATTTTTTCGGGTCAGCTGGGTTTTTCCGATTTTTTCGGGTCAACTGGATTTTTGTCCGGGTCACCGGGTTCCGGGTCAACCCGGCCGGGTCGGGTCGGTTTTTTAAACATAGGTTTGAGATACACACGGTGTATGAACCAAAACCTCAATTTTTTAACTTAGCATTAAAGCAATGTTTGGAAAAGCATTTTAAAAGCATTTTTCAGTTTTTTCATTGGAAAAAACTAAAAAAAGTGTTTGCATCAACAACCCTTTGCTTGAATATAAATCCCTTTAAGTTAAATAAAAGTGAGATATGAGATGCTTTTAAATGCTTCTTGTTATTTTGGTGAATAGTTGGAACTTTGGGTTCCTATGAGATTTGAGTCTAAATTAGTTGAAAGTTGAATAACTAAATATGGAAATACTCAAAGACAGTTATTAAAGGTGTCTCTAACGTAATAGTCAAGGACTAAGAATGGAAAAATCAAAGTCGAGTATCAAAAGTGTCAATGACTTAATAGTCCGAGAACTAGAAGTAAAAAACTCCTAATTTTTTCAAAAGACATACGCAGTTTTATTGTCTAACGAGCATCACCGCTTATTCCTGAGTAGAGTTGTGCGTTAAACATCTGGTGCGCTAACATCATATGTCTTCTTCTTCCTCCTCATATAAACTTCTGGTACGGTTATTATAGTCTCGAAGAATGAGCTTCCAGGCTGTTTGCTTTGTCAAACAATGTTAAACGCCAATGCCAGATTGCCAGATGTTATTGCACCTCTGAATGAGCTTTGAGTCAATGGTACATCTTCTACGTTAATGACGGATCAAGAAGCACCGAAACTTCATTTAGACACACGTCCCTGCTCGGATACCAATTGTATATCCTGATTCCAACAATCAAACTATAATTTTAATTATTTTCATAATTTAACCTTAATGTTATTCGAATTCGAATATTCGAATAAGATTTCAAAAAGATTCAAATATTCGAATATACCAAATGAATCGAATACGAATACAAAATAAGATTTAAATATTAAATGAATACGAATATTCGATAATAATACGAATACGAATAATATTGTCAAGTATTCGGTTCGATTCAATTCGTTTACAACCCTATCATTGAATATTGGACCTGTGATTTTTTGTTTGAAAGAGTGAGTCGGCGATCAGATGAGCTGAACTGCTTCTTCATATTCATACGTACAATATAAAAATTGTATATTACTTCGTATGTAATACTACTTCTGTTCAAAATTGATTTGCAAATTGACTTTTTTTATTAAACGTTTTTATTTTATTTACTTAATTAGGACATCAATTTTTAAATACATTCTAATTTGAAGCTTGCAACTTGAATAAGATTTTAATGCAATTTCTGAATAAATGAAACTTATTTTTTTTTATCGTCAGCTAGCCTTCTTTCATATCATAAATTTCAGGATCATTACACCAGTCAAAGGAAAACCAAATCTGACACCAACTAAATTCTGACAACTACAATTATAAACTCTATGATCTGATTTAAAGACAATCACCCTGAAAGAGCAACATGAATCGCTAACCATGTAGCGAGCTTGACACAGCCAAACAAACTGACAAAACTAACAACATAGAGGATAACAAGAATCCAAATGACAACAAAATAATAACTAATAGGAAAACTTTCATGGACTCTATCACCTCATACAACCCATGGCGGTGGTTCTGGAGGGGGCCGTATCCTTGGTACCATTCTAATTGACCCTCCATTGTTAATTGTCGTCTTATCTGCTTGAAAGCCGCACAACTCTCCTCGTCCCGCGCTCTTAGAGCATCTTTAGTGGGAATGTGGATTGTACCTCATAAAATGTGGACACGTCATTCATATAAACGGTCTATGGAGCTGATATGGACACATAGACGGTTAAGATAATTTTTTCACTCCAATGCAATTATGTGTTTACGATTAAAAAAACAATAGCAAGTTGTTTGATCTCCGTATAACTCCTCTTCTACATTTTAAAAAAGACTCCTCTTCTACCAAGAGACCATATGGAAATAGGTACGTGATTTTTTCTCCTGCCACATAACTCATCTCCAACGTCTCACGTCTGCACTCACAATTTTGCATATATATGTGGAATAATTGATAGACAGAAAAACAAATTACAATAACAAAAAAAAAAGAATACGTACTAGTATATACTACGGAGTATCTCTTTAATATAGATCTAAAAAAACATATGCGCTGCACTTTTATACGCAAGTTGGAGTTTTCAAGTTTTGAAGAACCGGAAATCGGAGATGTTATCAAGATGCGAAAAAGTAGTTTTTTATAGCCTTTTTCATACGCAAAATGCTGAGTCAGCCTGTTCAATAGACCTGCTGAAAATAGATGGGGTAGCGGACGGTGTGTATTTTTTTCGTTGCCAACTCAGCATGACAGTAAAAATCAACCGTTCCATTGGAGAAGTTTTTTGTATCACAATAGCTATTTAATCAACGTGGCAATGCATTTTAACCAACCGAGGATCCCACTAAAGATGCTCTTAGCAAATCCACTGCTAGCGGTCATCTTCATCGCTCCCATGTCATTGCTACCCAAACTCATTCTTCCTCCTAAAAAGGAGAACCAATCGGATTGCCTATTGCCTGGGATCAAAACGAAAGGAAACTTCATAGCAGACCAACGTTCGACAGCAACCGAGCGCTAATCCTGACGACGTAAGCCAAACAGAAACACACAGATCGAACAAAAATGACTGGAACCCACGATCGGAATTTGTCGCCGCCGGAGAAAAAGGCTCTAGCAGTTATGAAGCCCTAGAGAGAGAATGGCTGCGGAACCTCAAATAAAACTTAATTACTCCCTCCGTCCCGTTAGAAGGTTCCCACTTTCCTTTTTTGGACGTCCCATTAAAAGGTTCTCATTTCCATTTTAGGAAACAATTAACAATTTAAAGTGATAAATTAGTCATTAAATATTAAAAATAATACATTTATAACATCATAGTTATCAATACTAATACATTATAATATATACCTATTAAAATTATTTCTCAAAATATACCCGAAGTACTTTATTTAGGATGTTTTTATTTGGACTGTAATTTGCTGGTCTGGTCTGGTCTGGTCTGGTCTGAACTGGTCTGGTCTGGTAAGGTCTGGTTTCTTTGTATTTTTATAACTATCCAAGTCTGGTCTGGTCTGGTCTGAACTGGTCTGGTCTGGTCTGGACTGGTCTGGTCTGGTCTGGTCTGGTCTGGGACAAATTACAGTCCAAGTAAAAACATCCTTAATTATCACCTAAATAACTGTGACGTTTTGCTATGAGAACCTTCTAGCGGGACCGAAGTAGTATTAAAATTTGAATTAATTATTAATATGAAGAATTTAACTTTAAATTTAACAAAAAAAATGTTACTAGTACTTTGAAAGTTTGAATATGTATGACGAGTTTGTTATACCGTCAAGGCACAGGTGAAACACCAATTCTCTAAACAAAAAAAATGGAGATAAGGGTCAGTTTGGTCCTTGAAGTTGCAAAAAAGGGGGTCAAATAAGTCCTTATATAGAAAATTTTGTCCGGACGTGTCATTTGAGGTGGCTCCCGGTGGAATTTTCTGATGAAATTTTTTGAGCATCTTATTCTTTAAGTCTAGTTTACTCATACCAAATTTCAGATAAAAATTCAATCGGGAAGACATTCAAATGAATTCTTGAAGATAACTGTGCCGTTAAAAGCGCAATTATCTTCAAGAATTCATTTGAATGTCTCCCCGATTGAATTTTTAGCTGAAATTTGGTATGAGTAAACTAGACTTAATGAATAAGATGCTCAAAAAATTTCATCAAAAAATTCTACCGGGAACCATCTTAAATGACACGTCCGGACAAAATCTTCTATATAAGGACTTATTTGACCCCTTTTTACAACTTCGAGGACCAAACTGACCCTTTATTCACAAAAAAATTCAGTCGTATCTACGGTTATAACCCTCCCCTGCGGGCTGCGGTAATTGCGAACCCCACATAAGCCCGTTGTCGGTACTCGGCCGTGAAACTGCACTTATCTCCGGTTAGTGACGCGAGGTGGAGTGTCCGAACCGCAACTTCTCTCCAGGTCTGGCTTGTGCGTGCTTCACAGAATATGGCAGAAGTACTTCGGTATCCATTTGCGTTACATGGCTATGATAAGGGTACCCCTTTTCTGTACTCAAAGGACTCCCTCTCAAGCCTCAAAAGTAAAGTTGTTGTTAGTGATGGAGGTTCTCTCATTGCTTCAAGAACCAAAAAGATGCCATCTTTAAGAGTCAATGGCCTCGAAATGCCTATTCCTAAGGGCTGGCTGGAGATTCCTAGAGTAAAATGTGTTATTAGGGGCAAAGAATCTAGCGTACAATCTAATACTGTCTGTGTTGAATTTGATTCATCATGTGGAGTGGAGAACGCCCCTGCTCATAATGAAAAAGAAGGATCACCTGAAAATTTGCTTCCTTTGAGGAGTTCAGTGTATAAAGAATTACATGTTAGGGCTGGGGATGCTAATCTAAGTGGAAGTAAGGTATATTACTTGGATGAAAGAAATGAAGATGTATTATCGAAAAGGATTTTGAAACTATGTCGGCTAAACAAGGTTAGGAGTGCATTAGCACTTTACAAATCAATGATATTTACAAGCATCAAGCCTAATTCACATGCTTGCAATTCCCTTCTTTCTTGCATCTTAAGGAATGGTGGTCTTGATGATGCTCTTGAGGTATTTGAATCCTTGAAGGAGGGTAAGATGACTACTGCTCACACTTATAGTTTAATTCTCAAGGCAGTTGCTGAAGACCGGGGGAGTGATGCTGCATTGGAATTGTTTGAGGAAATACGTAAATATGACTGTGCTAGCAATGGATTTGATATCATTGTCTATAACACAATGATATCAGCTTTTGGGAAACTAAACAATTGGGTTCATGCTGAGAAATTTTGGAGAATTTTGCAAAACAAAGGTATTATAGGAACAACAGTGACGTACAGCGTATTAATATGCTTATTTGTCCGCTGTGGTAAGAATGAACTAGCTGTTGATGCATATAGAGAGATGGTTCAAAATGGGTTAACGTCAGGAGTTGATGTAATGCAAGCAATGATTGGAGCATGTATGAAGGAGGGAATCTTTGATATGGCATTTTCTATCTTTCAGAGTATGTTGAACAGTGGCCTAAAGCCAAATGCAAAAACATGCAATGCAGTGATTAACTTACTTGGGAAAGCTGGAAAACCCAAACTTGCATTCAAGGTTTATGATCTCATGAAATCACTAGGTCATGTGCCAGATTCATACACATGGAACTCACTTCTTGGTGCCCTAAACCATGCGAATCGACATGCTGATGCACTTCAATGCTTTGAGAGAATCAGGAAACAGCAACCTGACATCCTAAACTTTCATATATACAATACAATTATGATATCTTGCCAAAGACTTGGGTTGTGGGAAAAATCAGTGGAACTACTATGGGCGATGGAGGCATCCGGAGATTCTGTTTCAACATCCTCATATAATCTTGTAATTGGTGCTTGTGAAGTTGGAAGAATGCCAAAGGTCGCATTGCGAGTTTACAAACACATGGTTGACCAGAATTGTTCTCCTGACCTATTCACTCTGCTGTCTCTGATGAAAAGTTGCATCTGGGGTTCCCTTTGGGATGAAGTTGAGAAGATATTGAATGTAAGCCTTTACATGCTACCATAGTATTCTGTCACTCTATGTTTTGCTAGCATTGATGTTAAGGTCACTTTTCTAACAAACTACCAATGTCTTTCTGTAAGTAAACATGTAGTAATTGAATTAATTTTTTTCATTGATAATTAAGAAACTTAATTAAATGTATCAGCCATCAAGTTTTGTTATCAAGATACTAAATATTTTAGTGGCACTGCTTTTTCTTTTTAACATTATCTTCTTATCTTATCTTTTTATCATTCTATCTTATCTTTTTTAGCTCCAATTTCATGTGTCGATTCGTGTTAGCCGACCCCAAACTCTTTTGGGACTAACCTTGGATGTTGTTGTTGTTGTTGTAGTGCTCTGCGCCAAATGGATTCTTGTACAATGCTGCGATTCAGGGGATGTGTCTGAAAGGCAGGATTGATCTTGCTAGGAAGGTGTATATAAAGATGCATCAGAATGGTCTCAAAGCTGATGGTAAAACAAGGGCTCTATTGCTGCAAAACTTACCGAAAGATCTCAAGCGATAACAAGTACCTGATTGACAGTGGCAAATCAGTTCCTTATGCTATTGACTGACATAATATTGTTCTTCCTATCTGTGACCAATACGGTGAGTTGTGTTTAGGCACTATACAAGTAGGGCCAAGAAAATGCAGGTGCACGACTTAGCTAGTTAGATGCATTCAGAAAAGGTCCTGTAAATTGTAATTGACGATAAAATCTAAAATGTGTTGATAGTAACAAACTTAGATGGTGGATTTACTCATTTATCAAAGGTTTTTCTCTTTTGAAATGGCTATCCCCTGACTTACAGTTTACTTTAACATAATAATTGCGTTCTGTTGTATGTTTGCAAGAATTGGGACTAGTCAGATATCTTTTAGTCTTCTCTTGATCATCTCTCTGTCCTATTTTCACGCATGAACATGTAGCCTACAACCTTTTGGTGTCAAAACATATTTTGGAAATCCCAAAGAGTTAACAGTTTGGCACCCTATATTGTGGCCCATTTTCATTGTACCTTTTTTACATTGTGCTTATGTTGCTGTTAGGGTTGTAAACGAATCGAATAATTTTGATCCGATTCGTGATTCGAATTCGAAATTGATGATTCGAATTCGAAAAAATCGAATACGAATCCGAATATGAATCGGTTTTAGTATTCGAATAAAATTCGAATACAAATATGAATATACATGTATTCGATTCGTATCTTATTCAAATATATTCGATTCGTAATTAATTTCGTGCATTGATTAGTATATTTTTTGAAGTAATTGATTTTTTGATTAATTGATTTTACAATGTTTATTTATTTGAATGGATTTCCGTTTGATTTTTGAAGTAGCTGATTTTTGTAAGTAGTTCATTTAATACACATATTTTTGAAAACCGAAAAAATACATACGAGTACAATACATCATAATTTGAATATGTGAATTTTTTACACTACAAATATTCGAATTCGAATACAAATATATTTGAATATCATTAACGAATCGAATACGAATTTATTTTAAGATTCGAATAATATCCGAATACGAAAACGAATATTCGTCAAGTTATACGAATACGAATAATTTTACTCACTATTCAATTCGATTCGTTTACAACCCTAGTTGCTGTACATTGGAATTTTCCAAACAATACATCATTATTGCATTGTGTTATCTGCCCCTTCCATATTGCTTCACAATTTCACTGTTTTTGTGCCTATGGGTTGTATCGACTTCTTTAAGGAATTGCCCTAGTTAGGAGTAAAAACATAGTACTCCTATTTAGAGAGAATCCTTGTTTTTAGTACTCCCTCCGTCCCCTTATATTGTCCCGTTTTACCTTTTTGGGAAGTCCCACAAAAATTGTCCCATACCATATTTGGTAAAGTTTGTGTGGCTCAAAATCATTCTTACTTTATTCTTACTTTATCAATTAATATCAACCACACAAACCCACTTTTCTTAAAAATCGTGCCACCCTCTTCCGTCCCAATATAAAAGGGACGGAGGTAGTATTATTTAAGGATTTGTTGGGCTGCTCTTTTAGGCTTACATTCAAGAATGTCAGTTTTTATTCTTCCTTTTTACTGGCTTTGGTAGATTGAATTACCAGAACTGTCTTTATTTCTCTTCTTTTTCTCACAGTTTGTTCTTTTTTAAATTCAAATGATTTAAGACTGTATTCAAGTAGATGTACTGCTAATATGCTACGTAGTACATGATAATCAGTCTAATTTCATACCATTATACTACTATAATGAGTTTGCTACTTTGTTAAGAAATGTGTAGCTAACTTTCTCTGTAATTTCAATGATGTATTTTGTTTACTGTAAAAGGTTGCAGGCAACGTATGTGCTTTCTATATGTGTCAAGTTACATGCCACAATAAGTTAAGTAAGGCTGGACCCTCTCTTTGAGCCAGTGAGGATTGTCAGAGGAGATCAGTGATTGCAGCCCATGAGTTTTCTATATCCACTATATGTCCTGAGGCTTGATGGATTTTTGTTATTTGCTTATTAGCCGGCAATAGTAAATAAGCATGAGGATGATATTCACAGTTTGCTGTTGGAGAAAACCAACAATGAGCAACAGAGATCTGCTGCAAGTTCTGAAAATTGTTCAGCTCCACAGTGTTATGGAAAATGAAAAGGTGATTGGAGGTATGGGCAATTGGGCATGCTATAAAAAATCTTGTTGATTGACAAGTTCAACACTATTCAGAACTAATTAAAGTATGCATGCATCTAGTAACGCATAAGCACATAAATTTCTATCTAGAACCACATTTCTATATTGACTATCAACAACACAAACATTTGAGCATATTCTGTTTTCTTTAAAAGATTGATTTTCATTTTTTTACAATTGGCTATAACTTTAAAAATGCTCATATGCTAGTCTTTTAGTAGTTGCACTCCATGTTCTTTTACTTCGTGCATCTGCATACATGATACATGTCCAACTTTTCTCTTTTTTCCAAATCAAACATTTTGTTGGAAGGAATGCATTCTGTTTTTGTTGCAGCTTCATCCGTTGCAGTGACACAATATATTCTTACAGGAAATTGGAGAAATTACTACAGTGTTTGCAAGACAAGAACACAGTGATTCAGTGTTCTTGTGAAGCTCACATCGTTGGTGAATAGCTGTAAAGCCAAAAACGTACTCCCTCCGGTTCTTTTTAAACTTCACACAAATTAAGGAAATAAATTTGACTTTACTGTAGAGTACATTGTTAGAGTACATTGCTGTGGCACTGTTTGACCCTGTTTGGCACCGTTTTGATGTAGATAATTTGCTAAATAAGGAAGGGAGAAAAAGTGTGAAGTTTATTTTGGACCTACCCAAAAAGGAAAGTGTGAAGTTTATTTAGAACCGGAGGGAGTACAAAGTATTAACAGGGTATCAAACCAGTTTTAAACCAGAACAGAAACGGGTTGGGACCAAAACTAGAGATGGCCCGGAATTTTTGGGCCCGAGTTACGAGTAACCATATTGGGGGGACCAGGAACCTGCCAGTACGGAACAGGACTGGAACCAGGCCCTGCCCACCCATAGTCTTCTCTCAGGATTGGCCTCTGCAAGCTCATCTTCAACATTCTGCTAGATTGTTCTCTGCACAGGCCCGGCTCCATTGCTTGGGCCATAACCAAGATTCTCTAGGAATTCTCCTCAGTGACATGCAACTTCATTTTCTGATGGGTTTATCACTGCTTTAGTCGCTACAGCTGGATAACAGAGAACCACAGAAGTTGGAGACGAAAATACAGGTAGTCAATGGATGCTAGGGATGAAGTTGGTTTTGATTCCGGACTGACCAATTCTTCCATTCTCTGTAACTGGGCTGGGAAACAGGTACAGTATAGCTATACAGGCCCGGGTCAGCTTATTGCCTCCTGCCCCCGGGTCAGTCCCCGACCAACTTTTACTCTCTAAAAAACCAGGACTGGAACCAGATCCGGGAGGCGGGAGCTGGTTCGGGCCTTCATTGGAGGAACCAGAAGGGAGTTTGGCTTGTTCGCAGCACCAGTCCTGTTTTGGAACAAAAAATACAGGTGCCCAAGCCGGTTAAAGCACCAACCAGTCCCGGTTCAATTTCGAAACCAAGACTGAGTGCATGCCCAGTGCAACCATAAAATATCTGTATGTTGAGTGTATGGTTAAAAATATTTGTATTTTTTTTTGGCTTGAGAATATGCTGGAATAAAGCAAAATGGCTCACTAAAATGTCTGCGCTTCTTTGTTATGAAGCAACAAAATTTTGGACTCGATTTTCACTATGGGTCATCCAGAAACAGTTTCTCTGTGATTTAGTACAGGGGTAAGACTGCGTACATCTGACCCCCCTTACCCTACCGTAGGTGGGAGACTTTGCGGCACTGGGGTAATGATGATGATGATGATGATGAGTGCATACCAATATGTTGTGCTCACAGCCAAGAAGCTGGGATACTTTGTATTCATCAACCCTATTGATGAGTGAGCTGTTTGCTCTTGCAGACTCCACTATTTTCTTTGTGGTTTCATAGGACACCTTGTCTGGTAAGTCGTTGTCATCTTGCAACCTGGATCTCAGGTCCCTAATGTCCTTATATATCACTAACTAGGAGTCAATAGTGATTGTTTCATGCTAGGACTTCCTTCTCGCATGTTAAATTGTTGGTTCCCACCAATTCGTCCTCCACTATGTCATGCATGGCTTTCAACATGAATTGTTCTACCAATTTATTCCAGGGCCTTGATCATGGCTCTTTTGGTTCCAAGCTCTAATATCTCTCTCTCTGCACTTGATTGAGATTCATCCAATGTGTTTGTGCAACTAATTTGTGCAATGCACTTCTATTACAATGTTTTTTTTTTTTCAAACGAACAAGTTTTTGCTCAAAAAGATAAGAATTTATTCACGTCATTTTATGTCTGCAAGAACCAAAAAGTTTGTCCGCGTGAAGATGGTTTTTTTGTATTCTTTTTGTTCTCACAAACATAAAAACACGCTTCAAATCTTATCTGTGTGAACGAATATTTTGTTCGTGTGAACAAAAGATCTTGTCAACTGTGCTACCAATCATCACCTCAATATACGTCCATAGCCCAGTACCTCAATAGGATTAAATAGTTTTTGCATGATTTGTTTTTAGAATTAAATCCAAAATTGAACCAATTGATTTATGATGACCAGACAATGAATGTTGATCAATGAGAGCATCAACCTGCCAACTCAAACGATGAAATAGTTTGAAGTCTCAGTGAAATAACTAAGTTTGAGTATGGTTTTGATTCAAACTCTTCTTCAGATTCAGATCTAAAACATTTACTTGAGGTAATTTTTTTTTGAGAATTTGATATTCATTCCTATTTCTAAAGTAAATGTCTGAAAAAAAGACCACTTTTAGGGGTTAGATTAATGGAGTAACCACCAGATATAGAACCTGCAGCATTAGCAAATAAAACGTTATGTGTTTGAAATAAATGTATAACGTTTTGTGTTTGAAACTTTGAACGCTCATAGTTATCCCAATGTATTGAAAATTTGTTCAAAATATTGTTATAAGTGAAACTGTGAAAATGCATATGGTCTTCTCAGTCCTAATAATTTTTAGACTATTGTGTTCGCGAGTCCACCCACACAAGGTGGGGTGCAAATTAGAGTGGCTAACCATAAGCTCATGTGTGCGATATCCTCTTTTCTATTCCTTTTTACCACTTATAAAATGGGAGTTTATAAAAGTAAAAAACATTACCGTCACAAACACGTGTGGGGGCTTGTTGAGCTGGGGTTCGGAAAGGATGCAGTCATACAGGTCTTGAAGTTTTTCAGTGGCAATGAAGAAGCAACAATTGCCTATCTTTTTGGTGGTTGACCGAGTCACGTATGAATTCCACCTGCATTTAAATGAGTTTTTTTTCGAATTAATGTTAATTAATTAATTAATTACGAAAATAATGCTGGAAAAAAAATATTTACCGATCTACTGTTGGGTTTAACCATGGTCGGGGAAAGTCGTCCAACGGTTGGGCGACTTATAAGTTGCCCAACCGTTAGGCGACTTACCCCTTCCATATGAACGCAGACCAGCAGATACTGCTAGCCAGGCACAATTGTGCCTGCAAGGGTAGGCATGATCGTGCCTAATTTCGAAAACAGAATTTTAGCATTTTTTTTGTCCCCAGTTCAACCCAGGTTTATCTGTTTGCTATAAATAAGGTCTCCCTTATGAGATAGGGGTGGGGTAAGGGGTAGGTGATGCCGTGATGGTGGGGGCAGGTAAAGGATGGGGTAGGTGGAGTAGGGCAGGGGTAGGGGATTCGCGGGTGGGGTTTTTAGGGGTGTTCAACGACTTTCATGTCCTTAGTTTACTTATCCCCATCCCACCCTACCCACACACAATGTGGAGGGGTGTTCTTTCATTATGAAGGTGTTTACTTAATTTGTGTTAAATACTTAAACATGTCCTTAGTTTATTTGTATATTTGTGGACTGTGAAGGATTGATCTAATTTTATTTGTTTCTCTTTTCCTTAATTAATTTTTGTTAGCTTTTATATTCATGTTATCTGACCGAAAAAAAAACTGACCGTAAATTCATTTGGGATTAAGTTGAAATTTGTTGGTGTAAAGAGTAGAGACCACTTTGAAGGGTTTGCATAAATTCTATTTTAAATGAATTGTTCAGGAAAATGATTGTAAGTACACTAATCTGATACTACCTCCGTCCCCCTAAGTTTGGGACAAAAGAAGGTGGCACGGTTATTAATAAAAGTTGGTTTATGTGGTTGATATTGAATTGATAAAGTAAGAATAAAGTAGGAATGATTTAGAACCACACAAACTTTACCAAATAAGGTATGAGACAATCTTAGTGGGACGGACCGAAATGGTAAAATGGGACAATCATAGCGGGACGGAGGGAGTAGTTTGCATTTTATTTACCTCATGCGCACGCACTGTTTACAATTTAGTACTACTATATCGTACGTAGACAGCGTAGTATTACTTTTGTAGAACAAATACACTTGATTGAAAGAATTTTGAAGAAACATCCTTTTCTACTAGAGCCGTTTCGTAACACTGAAATCGTCTGAATCGGCTGATCTTCTAAATCTGGTTCGAGGACGGACGGCAGACATAAGACTTTTTATCGCTTTGTTTACTTCTTTTTCTTTGATTGTATTATCAGCCATGTGACTTATTTTGATTTAATGTATTATTTGGATTTGATCATTAAAAAAACTTATCCCGCTATTTTTTTTAATTTATTTATCGCTATATTTATTTCTTATGCTAACATTTATATTAGTATACTTCTATACTCAAAGATTATAGTATTTTATTTTTATTATTAACACTAGTGCAAGGGATTCGTTTGTTCTTAAAATCATTCTAAATCCTATAAACTACGATTGGCATTGCTGATTTTTTAGACGAAGTGGTAAAAAATTATGTGATGGAAGACAAATTCTGATTTAATCGTCTACTAATTTAGTAATTTGTGCTCTTCCTATTAGCTCTTTGTTTCTTGCGAGAATCAATTTTTGAGAGCCCGTTTGATAACACTGTTATTCGGCTTATCAGGCTTATCAGCCAACTTTTTCACCAAATACGTAACTTTTGATTTACTGTAAGATTGAAGTTACTTTTGTGGCTGTTTCGACTGAAGTTACTATAGAGAACCATTTTAGCTAATTTTACATATAATTTTTCTTTATTTTATTAATAAAATATATTTTAAATTTATTTTTTGCATAAATTAGCAGAATCAGCCAATACAGCCACTTAAGTCAGAACTTCATAAATTTCAACAGAATATATCACCTCGGTAGAAGTAATAATATTCGATGATCCTGTAATAGGCTTAACTGAGCCAATGACTAGCAAACCGGCCAGACTCCTCATCACCTAGCTTAAAATCTTGAATCTCTCTGCTAGGAAATAAGAACACGTTCAGAATAATATGGAATTCGAAAGAAAAACGTAATCAGAGTAAAACGGAATTAAAATAGAGTTCACTCATTTTCTTCCAAACTCTAACCTTGCTTGCACTCCATGGCGGCGGCTCAGGAGGGGACGCGCCCGCCGCTCATCTGATCCGCCTCAATGGTCATGCTTTTGTATTGAGGACGATATCCTCTCTTAACATCCCTTGTTGCTGAATCGAAACCATACTCCGGCTTGAAACCATACTTAAACAAATTGCAATTTCGGCTTCTTCAACTACGTGATAGGACTGCAAACGAGCTCGAAACACTGCTCCTTCTAAGCCGGGAAAACATAAAGAAACGAACACCGACGCCTTGAGCAAACTGATCACCGCCGGACAATTCAAGCTAGGCGTTGCCTACTTGCCTTGCGGCAACTCTAGAGAGAGCAAAGAAAACGTGTGAAGACGACAACCCTAGAGAGAAGTTTTATGGAGCGTAAATAAGAAATCTCAAAAGTTGAAAAAACTATAGCTGCATAAGTTATTGAGCAAGGAATGAATGCAGAACTCTAAGAAATGATACAGTTTCGTCATTATGGCGGCACACCGCATTACGGATTGAAGGGTCAGGATGGATTTCAATTTGTCAAAAAGATTAGTTTATCAAAATTTCTTGGAGAAAATAATTAAAATATCCTGAACTTTAGGCATGTGTGATATTCCTACCCTGAACTTGCCTGTGTTAAATAAATACCCCCTCCTTTAAATAATATGAGAAACAGCTACCCTAGCCTAATTAAAAGTATTTATTTTGAATTTAAAATGAATTTATGCAATATCTAGGTGGCAAATACACCTCCACGTTGGCTAATACTTATATCCCGATTCATCTCTCGTCTCTCACATCTATCAGGCCGGATCCATCTCTCGTCTCTCTCGTAGGAAAAAGCCCTAGTTTCAGGGTCATGCCATGAAAGAAGCAGAGAGCGTGAAGAAGATGAATGACCATTACTCAGGACGAAGAAGCATTTCTCTCAGCGGAAGCTCGTCTCTAGGAAGAGAAGGATTAGGGATTTCAAGTGAAAATGTCAAGTATTGCTATCACAATATTCCTGCTAATCTTGAAATTACATCAAAGGAAGGAAAGAACCATGGTCGACGATTTCACAGATGCTCTCAGTGGAAGGTATGAGTCAATAATGCTTTTTTTTCGGGAATTAAGATTTTCAAAAGCATTTTCATTATTTTGATATTGGCTTTTATATTGTACAGGTCAATGATTGTAGGTACATTGAGTGGTTTGACAAAGAAGAATATGGTTCTGGAGCGATAGAAGTAATTAATTGGTTGAAGAGGAAAAATGATCAACTTATTGAGGAACGCAAGCAATTACAATCTGAAAGTGAAAGGGGGGCTGTCACATTTGGTAGAGAAATGGAAACAGGGAGATTACATGATGAGTGCTCGAGTTATATGTTCCCGAGAAGGCAGGAAGAGAAAGAAATACTTCAGATGAAAGTGAAAAAATTGAAAGAGAAGAACAAAGATGTTAAGCAGAAACTGTTTATGGTAGAAGCAGAGTTGGAGAACATGAAATGCACTCATGTATCAAAAGCAGAGTTTGAAAGAGTAATAGCCAAACTTGGAATAGCTGGATTTGTTGTAGCTTGTGTAATTTTATCAATTTCCTCAATTGTTGTGAGAAAAATGTAAGGTAACGTTAGAATGTGTAGTGGCTAGAATGTGTGTGGTTCCATTAACTGTCATTCTTATGAAATGTATAAGCAAAGTATCAAAGGAAGCCATATTAGTAATAAGAAAATGTATTTCTATTCATATGTGTTTTTTGGGAGAAGTTTGGCTTTGTGATCTTGCTGGTATTTGTAGTAATATGAAACAAGTTTGTTGCTCCATTTTAGCATGACCTTGC